TAAAAATGCAGAAAGTTTCCTGTGAGGGGTAGGTTTAGGGGTAGGGTTGGTGTAGGGCAATAGAATATACGGTCTGTACAGTAGAAAAACCATTACGCCTATGGAGAGTCCCCACAAGGATAGCTGACCTGTGTGTGAGAGTGTGTGTGTGTGTGTGTGAGAGTGTGTGTGTGTACCTGTGAGGTGTAGTTGTGTCCGTCTGATCCACACACAGGCGTCGAGGGCGTCTCTGAACAGGGTTTACAGTTGTTAGCGTGGGGCTTCAGTCCAGACTCTCTGATTCTACAGCAAACACAACAAAACAATCTCAATCCAGCAGTTTCTGCTTTCAAATGTTGGGTGAAACGACTCCATAATCAATAACAACTCTGTTTTATTAAACACATTATTTTACATACTTTTTTTTTTTTTTTTTCACTTTTTTGACTTTTCCTTGTTTTATTACATTAAAACAAAATACCCTTTTTTTTTTACAACATAACTTTATTAAATGGAATTTTATTTAACTTTATTTTAACTATTACATTTGTGCTGTACATATTTTATATGCACATTTCACAAGAGTGATGCGAGAAGACACACTATGATGGCGGATCCAAAAGCGTTACTTTTAATAAAATTTTCATTTCTTCGTTTAATATAAGTGAGTGTCTTTATTGTTGCTGGGTTTCCATAAAAAAAAGTTAATAAATAACAATGAACCACAAACTAAGCATTCGTTTTAAATAAGGGAAAATACCTTATTTATTTGGGTTACAACGCAAGGCTATATCTTATTCATTTTGTTAATAAAAGTTAGATGTTTAATATATGCGAATTTGCCATAGTAACGACAATGTAAGGAATCCGGCCTCTGTGGTTCCCCCTGATCGTCACCAGAGGTCGCCATCACCCGAGTATTGACTTTCCCCTCAAACTCTATTTCCCATCACCTCGTACCTGACTTTGATTACGAGCTCACCTGATGCTTGTTTATGGGACTACTTAAGCCTCTGTCTCACACTCACTCTTCGCGAAGTCTTGTTTTGCCCCGGCTGACATTTCTGAGCGTTATCATCTTCTCTATTGGATTTCGGTGTTTGACTCTGGACTGTTTCTCTCGTTTTTGGATTCTTCGCTGCCTGCCTTTTGACTCTCTTGCCCTGTTTTTTGGACTGTTGTTTACTCTGCTTGCTGCCAGCCCTGATCACTCGCCTGTCTTGTTACTCTGCCTTTGTCTCATCTCTGATTACCCTGTTACGGTTTATCGACCATTGCCTGTACGACTGTCTACTTTTTTTTAAATATGAGATTGAAATGCTCCAAACATATAATGCAGTGATTGAGAGCTGAAGAAATAAAGGCTCCTCAGAAGATGTGAGATGTTCTGGACGCTTGTGAAGATCATTCCTCTGCTGAGGAACAGTGAAAGTAAAGCTTCTGCATTAGTCAGATGACACTGACTGAATAAAAACTATCTCTCACACACACACACAGATAATAACACTATTACACACACACTCAGAGATGAATGATCGTTTCGGCAGATAGGAACAACACAGTGGGTTATAATGTTCTGACCCATTAGTTTTTGCCGATTACACTAAAGCTCTGCGGACCAGATAAATGCTGAAAGTCTCACACACACACACACATCGATGAGAAACGTTCGGTGCGTTCATAAACTAATGAACAGAGACCGAAAGAGACACAAGCCATTAACACTGAACACTAAAGTACATTTGAGTTCATTTGTACTTCTATTTAAATAGATGTTCATGTTTAAAATACATTATTACAATATCTGAAGCGATAAATGTTCAGCACATGATTGGATCATTAAATCTTCTATGGAGTATCTTATCTCAATTTAACTGATATCTCTTGTATTATGTTGAAATTCTGGCTACGATCAATATGTTCCGGGACAAACTGACCATAATAGGATTTAATACAATTCACCAAAAATCACACAATGACAATCAATCAATCAATCAATCAATAAAACAGGTAAAAGGTAAACCTTTAACATTAATACTTCTCATTAATTATAAAAAGTGAAAACATTAGAACATATGATTTTTTAAAATTATATTAAACAAATATTTTCTAAACCTTTTATTTTTGACTGAAAGAGAATATTATAATTAGTATATTTTGTATTTTTGTATTTTTAATTAAAGTGTTTGATTTTATTTTTGTTTCATACTTGATACACGTTTCTAAGGCCTCTAAATGATCAACATGATAAAAATCTATGAGCCATAAAATGATGTATAAAATATGATGCTCAACAAAAAACACAATATGCAAACTTCTTTTTTTTATTTATATATACATAAACTGTCGTTCAAAAGTTTGAGATCAGTAAGATTTTTATTGTTTTTGAAAGAAGTCTCTTTTGCTCACCAAGGCTGCATTTATTTGATCAAAAATACAGTAAAATTGTCAAATATTATTTCAATTTAAAACAGCTGTTTTCTATGTGAATATGTGTTAAACTGTAATTTATTTCTGTGATCAAAGCTGTATTTTCAGCATCATTACTCCAGTCTTCAGTGTCACATGATCTTCAGAAATCATTCTAATATGCTGATTTATTATTACTGTTGGAAACAGTTGTGCTGCTTCATATATATATATTTTTTTGGAACCTGTGATACTTTTTTCAGGATTCTTTGATGAATAAAACGTTAAAAAGAACAGCTTTTATTCAAAAAAAATATACACCACTGTTCAAAAGTTTGAGGTCATAACGTTTTTTCTTTCTTTTTTTTTTGAAAGAAATTAATACTTTTATTCAGCACGGATATGTTAAATTGATGCAAAGTAATAGTAAAGACTTACATTGTTAGAAAAGATTTCTATTTTGAATATATGATGTTCTTTTTAACGTTTCATTGTAAAGGTCAAAGAAAAGATGCAAATGGTCATAAACTCTATTCTGACACTGTGACTGCTGATACGAGCGAGACTGACCTGTGCTGGAGTTTCTTGCGGTTCACACACATCGCTCTCTGATATCCCTGAGCCACACACACTTTATGACGACTGCACTTCACCTTCTGACACGGATCCTTCGTGGTGTCCAGACCTGCAAAAGACCACCGTCAGACCGAGAGAACTCTAAACCAACAAGTGCATGCAAAACGCTTACAGTGTAATGAAAGATTAAATGTTTTTACATGCAGAAAATTTAAATATGAAAAGTCACATTTCACTTTGGAGGACAAAGCAGCATTTGATTTTTATCTGCGGTTATTCCACATCTTTTAACAAATGGATTTTCATGAGATTTTCAGCTGTTTGTGATGCATGTGGATAAAACTCTTGAAAATTACACTGACAGAATGTTTAACTATCTTTTATTTTTATTTTTTGTTAAAGTTTTACGTATTTATTTGCTTTTGTTCTTTTTATTAGATATTCTATATATTTCGATTTAGCCGTAATTAATTTTTATTTCAGTTTTTTTATTTTTTATTTTAGTACTTCAACTTCAGCTTATTTATATTTAAGCAACATTTTTTAAATGTTTACATTTTTAATTTAATATGTATCTTTTATTTATCATTTCTTTATTTTTAAATGTGGATTGTTATTTTTTAATATCATTTAAAAATAATAATATTATTATTAATATTTATTAAAGTATTAAATAAAAAATATTATTTTAATACATGGAGATACTTATTTTTTAATTAATTTATTTTTTTATTATCTATCCATCCATCCATCCATTTATCCATCTATCTATCTATCTATCTATCTATC